TTTATCAAACTTAAAATATGGAAAGAGTGACTTAATTTAAAGAGCCCATATTATGCTATTTTCTGATCTCAGTTATAATGTTGTTTCCTCATCACAAACATACCTGGAGTTGTGTTTCGTTCCACTAACATGCAATAAACATGCAGGGTTTGTGTGTTAAACACAAGCCCTGCATGTCTAAGTTGAGGAATAAACACTCTGTCCACCTTGTTGATGTCATGTGGTAATACAGGAAGTACTCAACTGGGTTTTTAACGCCATAAACCTTCACTAGAATCTAGTTAATTTCACCCTGTAATCACCGATCTCTACTGACAAAAGGAAAACGGTAGCTGTTAACTTGAAAACTACTACATAACATCACAAGGTGGAACAGAGCATTTCAGACTTTTGAGATGTAGACAGACAAATAATAAAGGATTACTCTAACATGTGTGAATGAAACAAAACTCATCTCCAGGCATGTGTTTGAATAGCAGCAACAACAACAAGAGTCAATTTTGCATAATATACTACCTTTAACAAATGATTCGTTAGTTTACACTTCCTACTGAATTAGGTGTACTATAACCTCCTCTATGTGTCAGACCACGGTTGGCTTCACAAGCGCACAAGCCACTCCTACCAGTTAAATGTAACAGCGAGGACAGCTTGTTACAGAAACCCAGTGATTATGACCCTCTGTGAACAAGCCCTTTCTTTTTCCCTCTCTCTCTTTCCCTCTCTCTTTTTCTCTCATCCCTCTCTCCCTCCCTTCCTCTGCTCCTCTCTGGTGGCCACTTTGATCAAATTGCTGCTCTTATGTCCTTGACTGCTGCCCCCGATGGCTGACCTCTGCATTTGAAATTTCCTCGCTTATGTAAAAGTTTATGTAGATTAATGCCACAATTTATGCAGATTGAGTTTTTCGCCACCACAGCTTGAAGCGCTAAAAGGTAGACGAGCACTGACCTTCCTTGCTAACAGCTACGTGGGCTCTCACCGATTATCTCATAACAGCAATGAAAGTTCAGCGACAGAAAAGTGATAGAGAGCTATTTCAGAATTTATAATCCTCCCATTTCAGCTCTATCTAAGAAAAGGCTATATTTGCCCTTTTTTGTCCAGACCAGGGTGTGTTGCATCCTTACTGAGTAGTGCACCTGTTTTACTTGACGGTCTTCAAAAAATCACATCTTTGCAGCAGCAGTTGTAGGCAACAAAATTATGGTATTACAGACAACCAGCCTTGCATGTAGTCCATTACATTTGTCCATATTGGAGAGATGGCCGATATTGGCCGATACTGACAAAAATGAATATCTAGTTGTTGTTTTTTTAAGATTAATTATATTCAGATCCTTTCATTATGCATCGGGAATGTGGTATATGTGCTATATAGCTTCTGCCATTTTATATCCTTGTTTGGAAGATTACACTCAATGTTTTTTTCATAGTTTAAAGAATAGAAATGTTCTAATTTTGCAAATCTCTCAAACAGCAATGGTGCTGCTGTTTTTCAATACATCTGGCACCTCTACTCTGCAGTTCAGTGTTGTAAAACATGGTCTACTGTCAACAGGGATATCAAGCTGTTTTTGAGCGGCTTGTGTGTCACCCGAAGCCACTGCAAAGCTGTAAACTCCATCACGAGTGGCAGCACTATTGGCGAGGTTGAACAGTCAAGTGCCATCAAGAGCGGTTTGCTTCAGAAATGGTGTATGTGAAAGCAAACAAAAGGCTCACACTTGACTCGACCTGCTCTCTCAGTCTGAGTGCACACAGGTTGTCCGACTCTGGAAAAGTACATTTGCAGGTGAACAGACAAAGCCAAAAGAGAGGCTGAAAATGTCAATGTTATGGCTTCTATACTTTTTAGAAACACATTCAGCTGTGACAAGAAATGGACACATCAATCACAGGTCTCCAGCTTTCATCCAGTTCTGATACTGATACTAAAGCTTTAAGTATCTGCCGATACCTGATAAGAACTGATACTAGTGCAGAGACTGAAAACAGCATTTCCTTGAAACAAAAATACAATAAGACAAAACTAATCCAAATGTGTTATGTAGCTGTTATTTATCCCACAAGTAACTGCAGAAAAACTCAAATGTTCAAATATTGTTAGACTATGACCAGGAACTGAACTTCGTGGACCTGCCAGAATGGCAAGGATAAGAGCTTTGCCACTACAAATTAGTTTTCCTATCTGCATCTTTTCTTTACTGCCTTCTTTAGCTTTCACTGCAGGGAAGATAACAGCAAGCTTGTAGCATAGCATCAAAAAGTTAGCTCCCATCAGGTCACTAACCCTGTGCATTTCTTACACAAACACAATGTGATCTGCCAGTCGCACGGTTAAGACAAGGTGTCAGCTGAAGTTAGCGCTGAACTGAGCTAAAAGGCCTGGCTGGCACTACAGCCCGGTGGGAAAACAGCTGTTCACTTAAGCTCTGCTCCACTGTTGTGTGTGCGGATGTGTGTGGATGTAGTGTAACGTATTTGTTCAGTTGTGTGAGTCTATAAACTATTTATGTCTGTTGCGGTGTCCCACCATTGACCCATGCTCTGTCTCTTCCGCCTTATTTGATGATGACACTGCCTCGCGTGGGCTCACTGTATGTGCTGTTTCTCTCACTGAGACCATGTCTGCTGTGTGTGGCTCATTCATAAACTATTATTAGACCAAAGAGAAACCACATAACAGGAAGGAATATGTGATGTAATAGGTTGTGCTCATATGGTAGAATTCCTACATTAAAACTGAACCGAAGGATAGGTTAGAATACTCTGGTAAAATTGGCTGTTTAGATTGCAGATTTGTTGACCTGGTTCATGGTTAATATCTCTGTAATTACTGAGCTCAAGCAGTGAAACAAAAACAGGCAAAGTTCAAAGTTGTCTCTGTCAGCATAACTAAACAAAACAGTAATATTTTTTTTAACAATAGCTTCAAAGAATGGTGCTATTATTAAATACTGAAGCGGTGATTCATGTCACTTGAAAGGACTTTAGGCCCTAAGATTAATATGGTGCTGATTCCTACCAAATAATAAGATTCAACATGTGGCAATTATATGTTGGGATATTTTTGGCAAAAACCGTGAATCTCCTATAGCTGTGTTTCACAAACTTTTTTTTGTGGACCCATATTTTAACCCTCTCCAGGCAGGCGTTGCAGATTTGCAACAGCTAAATACCAATTACCTACTTACTCCAAATCCATATTTTATGAGCTTTTTTTACTCAGGAGCCTTTTTTCCCATCCATGATAAACGTGGACGATGCAGACTGTGTAAGAATGGCTACACACAAACGGCCTGTCAGAAGTGCAAAGTACTTTTGTTGTTTACAAAGGATAAAAATTGTTTCTTGGAGCACCACATGAAAAAGTGATGTTGTTCTGCCACTGTAAAGCTGTTACACTGTGCTTTTTGTTTTCATTGTTATGAAAAGTGGTGAACACATAAAGTTAGTGTTCATATCATTTTCAGTCTTCAGTGTTAATTTACCACACCGGACCAATGCTGCAAATCTCCAACATCCCAGAACACACTGGATGTGAAGGTCTCTCTCAAACAAAAGTCAGGATTGTATATTACTACCCCATATGATAATTTTCCCCAAATATCAGATTTTTTCCTGTTACTAAAATTTTATTTGAGTCTGAGAGGGTTAAAAGTCACAAACTTTTGTGACCCAAGTCAATAGACATTATTTGTAAATCGCAAAATAAAGGTGGGTTAGGGTTAGGTTGAGCATTAATGAGGATATTTTATTGTTGACTGAGTGATCGTGTCTCTCTGAACAATTAGTATTACTCAAGTTTTAAACAATGAAAAACCAGCAGTAAAAGGATCCATAAGTTGCCTACTTGGACATTAAATGTAGCCTGTTTCTTTTTCTTTTCAACATTCAATTGAACTAGCAATATTGGAACAAAATTAAACTTATATTGCAGACTACATGCAGATCGTGACAAGGTGACCCAAAATCTCACCTGAGGGTCATGACCCAGTCTTTGGGAAACAATGTCCTATAGAACTATATTCATGAGTTCCAGCTTTTGGTTGTATGCACAGTTTGAAAAAAAAAATAAAAATAATAATAATAATTTAATTGCAATTTCTCATCACCTTGAAATCCACAGATAGACCTCTTCCCTCCATTTCAAATTATGACAAAAATTATATAACATGAACACAGCCTGCTATGAGTACAATGTTATGAAAGAATCAAGTAAAGACATTGATTCTCTTTTTTATGTCCACAGGTTCGGTCATCCTGCAGCAGAAGAATCACAGTGGTATGACACCTCTGGACTTGGTATTGGATTCTGCTCAGAGGGAGGAGCTTTTGGACAGCGCTCTGACGGGAGACCGCGCCCGGAAAAAGAAGCCCACTGAGGTTCTGAACCTGCCCCTCCTGGAGGCTGGCTCCTGCCTGCTGCTCCACCTGCTGACCGCCTACCATCAGGAGAAGGGTCTGTCCATGTTTACTGAGGCTGGAGCTCAGAGTCTGGGCCAGAGGCTGGTCAGAGCCTTAAAGATGCACTCCTTTGAGACAGTGACTGCTGCATGGATGGACCAGCAGGCTGTGAGACTTCTGGAGGATGTTATGACACTAATGGAAGCAGGTAGAGGCAGTTATGATGGACAGGTGTCTCAGCCAATCAGAGAGTGTGAAGGAGAAAACACACAGTTCTTGATGGAGAGACTGGGAGAACTCAAGTCAAAAGGAAAAGAGCTAGATCTCCATTTTAAGAAATCTGGAACTCTGAAAAACTGTTACTGTGTTGCATGAATTATTTCATGTTCAGTTAAACTTCGTCTACTGAAGGTTATGGTGGATTTGACTAATGTAATGTTGTTAATATGTTTTTCTACCTTGTATTTTTTTTAAACTGACTAAATAAAGGTTTTACACTGCTGTACTTTTAGATATTTTTTAAATTAATTGAGACATTCACACTCATAGAAAATTCTAAAAAAAAGATTGAATTTTATTTTACTCTCTATTGTTTTTCAAAATAAACAGACATTTTCTTGCTCAAACCAGAAATATATATTCACGGGTTTGCTACATTTCCTCATCTTTCATTGTCTTTGCTCAGACTTTGTTTTACTGCATGAAGCAATGTCACAGGCAGGCAACAATGCAAGCGCAAAAAGACATAAGAAAATAAGGCAGGCATACACATATTTTTTAACATTATTAACAGGCATACAGTATAAAATACCACAATAAATATGTACAGTGTCATTTGAAAAATAAATAACTTTCTTTTCAACTCAATAAAAGTGCTAATTTCTATCAGTCTGGTTTTGATACATTCCATCATAAATTATCTCTACATGAAAATAACACTTTGGTTTGCTTTCCAAAACCAAAAATTTGTATAAAAATTACAACTGAATAATAAAATCTCTGTAAAATAACTACATACAAACACCAACGCACATTTCTGTAATTCAATCCATTGTGAAAAGCCATCCTTCATGAGAGAAGTGTGTTTGGTAGGGCAGGCTATAATCAGTCTGCAACACCGCTCTAGGGGGACTGTCCGTTATTGTGTTTCCGAGTGGATTCCTCAAAACAACAAAACAAAATCAATGGCCCTCTAGAGTGACACATCCTCGCCTGTTGATATTTAAGCATGGAGATGGATGGGTGGAAAGAGAGAGAGGGCTGAGCGGTTAAAGAGCACATGCAATGCTTAGACGTTTGACAAAATGGCAGAAAGAAAAGAAGAGGCAGGAGACATGGGAGCACCAAGATGGAGAGCCAGGGATGAGGGGGATGAACACGAGCCTTCTTGAGAGGAGGCCGAGCTCTGATCTTTCAACAGATGCTCAGAGAGAAGCCCACGGGACCCCAGCCTTCAGACAGGGTCACTACCCCGCTACACTGATGAATGTGAGGACCACAGAGGAAGCATGACAAAGAGAAAATTCCAAAATATGACTGGAAAAATGGGATCACTATCAATTTTAACTTTCTTTTTCCTTTTAGAAATGAAACATAATAAACTGTTTTCTCATTTTTATATTGATTTGTGGTATGGCCCCATGTAACAAAACTACCAAAAATTAAGTTTAAGGTTAACATCTTAACAATATTGTAATAAGAACAGAGCTGTCTCCCACAGAATTACAAAGCATCAACTAAAAAAAACTGATAAATGATAGACTAAAGAGACAGTTTCAACAGTGGTCATCTGGAAACTGTTTTTGCGATCAAGAATTTTTGACTCCCATTCAGAAGCTATTTTCAATTTGTTGTTACTAGCTTCAAACACTGGGAATTTATCCTACTCTGAGTTACTTAGTCCAATCCCAAAGAGAGGAGTTTTAGAGTGAAACTACCCTGCTCATCTTTGCTTGTCTCTCTCTACACTAAACCACTTCTGAATGAATTAAGGATTATACTGTCTCAAAATGACTGATGTTTTGACTTAATCAGAATTTGGTAAATTAACCCTTATAACACCATCATATGGACAAAAGTGAGGCGCTTTTTTTTTTTTTTTTTTTTTACCCAAAAAAATTCAGCAGGACATTTCAGTCCATAGTCCTCCCAGAGCCTCTTTTTGTTTAAATGAATGGTAATTCCTCTCCCAGCTGCATGAATAACTGCCACATCACAGACATATGTAGACATATTTGAACATGCTGACACACACAGACTGGATCTGCACTTCAGGCTTCAGCTGCAGGGGACACAATGGTAACACATAGCAACATTAAGGAGAGCATCATGTCTTTGATTGCATAAACGTGCAAACACTGCTTTAGTACACACACTGTGGTTTACATACACCAGCTCCTGTGAGAGAGTGAGAGAGAGAGGGAGAGGCAGATCAAAGTTGAGCTGTGGGCACATGAGGTGGGGCAGATGGAGAGAGCGGCCAGCCCGGGGCACAGCATCACAGAAAGCATGTTTATGTGTCTGTGTGCCTGAGAGCCACACAAAGTAAAGCAAATGGGATGTTTGGTTTTATCTGAGTGCTAGTACAACATAGCCTGTGCATTCTTTGTGCATCTGTCTGTAAATGGATGGAGCGGTGTGTGGCCACTGGAGCTTCAACACACACACTCACATGCACACACATCGAGGGGAGATGAGAGGAAAGGAGACCAGCCTTTCAAACATGATTAGGGCTGTGGCTGCCACAGGCCCCACTCTGCATAGACTGTATGACATCTACATTAACACCTTTACACTGGCTCTGCTTTGGCTTCTCTCTGACAGCACCGACTTAGAGCTGGGCAAAAAGTCTGGCTACAACCACAAATATGTAGCCATTTAATTGAGACTGTACGGTAAAATCATACACAGTGCTGTGTAAAACCTGTGTGACAAAAAAGCAGGAAGACGTTTTCCTGAAGTAGCATGCGTAAAGGGCTTCTCTGGACACAGACAGAAACACAAGCCCACAGCTTGTTTGTCCACTTTGTTTGTGGAAGAGGAAGTATCTGGAGGCTACCTCTGTAATTGCTAATCAGCTCGGCTGGCGGAGTTAAGTGGAGACGATTCAAATTACTGGCAGCAAACATAACATCATTACAACATTCAAGCTGGAAGTATATAAAAAAAACTATTAAAAGTATAAATACATCCCAAAAAAGCATTTAATAAATATTGAAAATTGTCTGTTTCAATGTGATTATGTCAAATGTAATGATAAGGCTTCACTTCATGATGAACACAACTGAACTAAAATGTCATTTTGGAAAAGTAAGTTCAGATATTAAAACTTGTAAAACCTGTTGTTGTCATCGTTTGACAAATAGTGTAAATGTAAGTCTTCTGAATGATAGATAGAAGGATAAGCACATGGATGAGAGGAGCAATTCCACCATTGAGACCTTCAACTGATCACATAAGAGTCCAGGACACTTAATGTCTTTTTATGCAAATATCCATCATAGTGTTCAGTCACTGGAAGTACTTCTTAACTGGAAACACATTACAATAGTTGAGCTGAAAGGGTCTGTCTCCTGCACTCCTGTGTGTCCAGTGATGGAGCAGCAGAGTAAAGTGGAGAAAAGAGGAGATGGTGGGCGGACAAAGTCATCTACCCGGGGTTGTTTTTCTTCCTTTTATTTGGGCTGGGATTGGGATCCACTTTCAGCTCTCGGTACTGCACCTGTTAAAACAAACACATACAACACACACCAACTGGTCAGGTGGAAAGAGCAAAGGATGCTTGAATAGCACGCAGCCCTCCAGAGGCTCTGTGAGTCCAGCTGTGTGGAACAGTGGCCTCAGGGAAGGGATTACACACTCTAGTATACAGCGCACACACTGTACACTATACACACACTGCAGCACACAGGCACACTGATACACAAAAGATACAAACACACACAGACTCCACAGATGTGGAACAGTGGCCTAAGGGAAGAGATCACACAAACAAACGGAGAAGAGGCCAAGGGCTCATGGGAAAGCTTGGAGAGACAAGAGTCAGCTCTGCATGGGAGGATATTAGGGAGGGAGAGGGCAGAGGAGACAAGGTACAACTCACACTCCACCTTTTAGGGCCAAAATCTTAGTTAAACTGGCCTTGCATCTAAGGCATAGATTTCAATTTAATGGAAACATGGTATCTAAAACTAAGAGATAGTGAATGAATTGTATTAAATGTATTTATTGCAGATAACAATGTAATAGATATCATTCTCAGGCAATACACTGCAATGAGCCTAAATTAACTTCTTGCATTTTTACATGACAGGATCATGCCTACGGTGGTCACATGGCACACTTGTTTGAGTCCTAATTTGACAAGAGGCTTCCTGAGCACAGACAGAATGCGAGCCGACTGCTTCAGAGTGATGGACACTTGAAGAGTGTGCATTACAATGTGTGAGAGGAAAGCAGCGCACACTGTCACTCCAGCACTTTCTTACTCTGTGACGCGCACACAGCCTCTGACAAGGACTAGCCACTAAATCAGAATACTAATAGATAAAGAAACAGCAGATTGAACAGAGGCACTATGCTGTATGGGTATGGCTGGTGTATAGGACACTCTGTGTGAGTGACTGACGCTGCCTCTGATTCTCCAGCTACAAACTGACGTCAACATGGCTCCTCTGTTCTGTCTCTGCAGTGGACGGGAACAGTAGCAAGTCTTTTACATGGAGCTTGTACTGGTTACTGTGTTGTCATTTAGTGTTTGCAGTATCTATAGCTATCAAGATTCACTTTTTTACTTTGTACTGCAATCAGAAATACTAAGGTAAAGCATAATAGCTCAACCTACTAATTTAATTTAACTACTTACATTTTCTATTAACAGTCAGAATTATAAATGCACATTCCTTAGTTTTTTTTTTAATTCTATTTTACATTTGTATGTTCCTAAATTGGTTAAACAACTTGTTAGAAAAATGTAAGAGTAAAAATAGTAAAATTTTAAAAGGGGGATCCACATAGAGATAACATGAACACAGGACTACAAAAACAAGTGAAAATCCCAAATTTCAGGGGGTGAAAGGCCAACAAAAGCAAACAAAAGTAAGACTGAACACTGCAGGGACACTGGGAGGGATATCTGTGGACACTCGTCTTGTGGGAGTGAACTCTTTCATGGTTGGGCCAAAGACAGCAAGTTAAAAGTGCGAAAGGACAAAAGGTTTGAATGAGACCTTGCCATAGTAACAATAATTCTAACAACATCAGCAACATTCATTTGTTTGCCAAGTTTTAGCTGCCTTGACTTATCCAAAAGTAGGGCAGGTATTGTGCAGGATCACTGACTGTTAGTGGTCCCATTACACGGCCAAACGCCTACAGCAGCAACAAGGAACACAGCAATTTAAATCAGTGTTGACATTTCTGTCCAAACAAAACTCCTCGCAAGTGTGATAAAAAATGAAAAGAAAAGTTTGCATGTCAGGAGAAAGTATGCGTCTCTTCCTGTGAAGGGGAGCAACAAACAAAAAAGAAAAGGTAAGATGGAGGAGGGGGCATATCTCAATCAAAAAAAAGTACTATTTCTCTAAAGGCCTGCCAACTGTTAGAATGGCATCACAGCATCAATTCAACCTTACAGGTGACATGTTTGCATGATGCTATATACCCTTGGCTCCCTGTTCACCTTACCACACACACATGCGCGCACACACCCACACACGCACACACCCATACACGCACACACACACACACACACAAACACACATACACACACACACATACAACAGCACACCTCTGCAGACAACAAAGAAAGCATAAAACACAAGGAGAAAGTGGGGCCTTAGGAAAATAAAAGAATTCAGAATAAGATAAAAAAAAAAGGGGTGGTAATGCTCCGGATAAGCAATTTGGTATCATGAGAACTTAAAGGGAACATCAGCAGGAGAGGCGCTCTGTAAAAGACCCAGCACAGCTCAAAGGCTGTGCCACCCTCGCTCCTCTCCCCAAATGTTGACAGTACAAGTGCAAAACAGGCTTTGAAGTGCGCTCCGCTGAAGGGGCGCCATGTACCCAGCTTCGTTTAACGGTGTTACCCACAAAGCATCCTGGGACCTGCTCCTCTGCCTCCCTCTCTCTCCTCTCTGCCTTCTGAACCATTCACTGTGTTTTGATGTTGCTGTTGTGGGTAGAGACAAGGCGAGGTGGGTGACAGAGCATAAAAGGTGCTGTAAATAAATGAGCTAAAGAAAGGTGACGGGTGCCATGGTTTAATGATACTCTTCGGCGAAAGCACCAAAGTCAGCAGGTTTCATCTTTTGGGATGCCAAATAGTGCACAAGGGTTATTAGGTGTTTCTAAGGAAAACAATTATACATCACACTTCACAGGACTGCTATGGTAAACGGAAAAGGTGTACCAAGGTGACATCAGCCACTGGAATAAAAGTAGAAACACAGTCAAAAAGTATAAAGTAATTTTACTGGTAGGACACTGACTAGTAGCTAATTGGCTTCACGCCGGGATATGTGGAAAATGTTCAAAAAGGACAACGACAAGGAGAGTGAGACCTCTGGTAGATGTGAGTGATGGCATCTGGCTCCACTTCAACCTTAAACTGTCGCACCTCTAACATAAATGTTGTCCAAAAATATTAACCTTGCTCCCCACTGCTCATTGTGCTCGAAATGGCAATCTATGGTTATTTTTGAACAGGGGTTTTGATCCAGCTCTTTACACCCATCATAAAGGGCCACTTGGCATGCTAATTGCCTTGCCCCTACTTATGCACTCACAAGCTCACACGGCTAATGGTGTCGTAAAACATGCTAGTGCAGCGACACCAGGTTGGGAATACTTAGCACTATAAAGGTGCTCAGTTTGGCCTTGTTTAAGAGGACACACAGAGTTGTATGATAATGGCCATGGAGATAGAGCTTCAGTGGCTAATACTGAAAGATACAAGAAAACTCCAGGGGAAAATGGTGGCTCTTTTACAGTACAGCACACATCAAGGCAAAGTTTTAACACCACCACTCACCGAGGGACTTAATGGTTTAAGTAAACTATTCCAGTGGTAAAAGGCAACTATGCACTGCTGGGGATAGAGTTGTTACAGAGCCTTTTGCAGCGTTGTAAGGGCTCAGTGTCAGTGAAAATATAAAGTTACTGGATTCTCCCTTGAATGAGCAGTTATATAGTATATTTTTATCATTCAGATGCTCCCCTTTTGCCTCAGTGAACCAGTCGAAATCATAATTTTGCATATTCTTTATGCCTGATGCCCTATCATTTCTGTGATTGGTGCCACCACTACTGTACTGTTAAAGATGCACTATGCAATTTTTCTGGTGCAGAGTGGAGAGTAGGGATGGGCATTCGATGAAATTTTCTTAATCGATCGTAGGAAGAATTAACGATCGATTATCGATTAATCATTAACGTTATTATATTAAAATTATCATCATTATTATTACTATCTGCACTACTAATCTGCATAAATAAATTCAACTTTACAACATATAAAACGTAACGACTCTAGAGCCACATCAATCCGTTTGACATTATAATGTGTTTAATTCAGTTTTGCGCAACTCTCACAGAAACGAAACTTAAAACCGCATCGCTAATTTGCATAAACTCAGCGAAGATAAAACAGCTCTTGTGCGCTGATGCGGTTCAATTTCTGTTGGATTAAAATACATGATTCAGTGGAATACAGGTTAGTGTGACCATATTTGCGTTTGTCAAAACCAGGACACCGAACGGGGGGTGGGGACTCGTCATCGACATTGCGCGACTCTCACCTGGTAAAGCTTTTTCCCACTGGACACCGAAACATATGTTCCTGCTTTATACACTGTGGACATGGACTCACACTTGTCCCGAACGCAACGGAAAGCGTGGAATTTCTTGTACAAGTCATCGTTAAATACGCATTTGTGCTTCGGTTCCCTGCAGACTGACCGACTGTTTGTGTTTGCTCGCTTCTTCTGAGTGCAGAGAGCTACATGTACGGACCCTGTTTGGTCACGCTACGCACAGCAACCTACACTCGGTTTGTCGATTAAAATTAACGTAATCGATGAAATTCTTAATGATCAATTATCGATTAATCGATTAATCATGCCCATCCCTAGTGGAGAGTATGCCATCTGCTCATTTACAGATGTAACTGCTTGACCTGGAATAGTCCAAAGTATGACATTAAACTTATCTAACTTGCCGAGACAAGCAGGTGATGCCACCATGCCAAATTCCAGGTTAGATCTGTGGATCCCCACTCAAGGTGATTTGCTTTACAAGATACTTTTAAGGAATGAAAAACACATGTAATTGGATACATGCAAAATAGAAACATTTAACGCTATACTGTGGAACCTTCCAGACAAGGCAATAACAAGTCCATTGAGACAAGCAGGTAGTGAACCCGCCACCAGAAACGTTACATAGTACATGTTTAAGCTACGAACTGAGTAGAAAGTGACTATGTGTTTGACCTTTATCAATAGGTGGTTAGTGCCTCGTCTGTTCAAATTGCACCTCTAAATGATGCAGAACATTAGACTGACCACCCTTCAGCTACTTCACAGGCGCAAGTGCTGTGAGAGCATGTTTTCGTGTTAGGTCAAACCAGGCTCAGAAATAGCACTTCATCAGTCATCCCCAGTGTCGGACACATGGAGCTTCGGGTGCCAGTGGGTGCCATGGACGGGTGCCCAGGAGGAGCGGGACCATTGGACCTCTGCACCTTGAGTGTCATGGGTGAGCCTAAGGGCCTCAATCCCCATGGAGGGCTTTGACCTGGTAAAGGGGGAGGCAGTAAATGAGGTGAGCCCAGCACCAGAGGCACGGCGGGATGCACCACAGAGCAGAACGTTCTGATCTGTTTTTAGCCCAAAAGTGCAGAACGCGGCACAAGCAGAGGACTCACCTTTGTATCCAGTCACAAAGTAATTAGCACATTTATTAGATGTCAGAGCGCTCATCACTTTTACTTGCCTTCAGTGCCACAACTGAAAATTGCAGCAGGCCCGTGAGAACAATAAAGGGCTATTGTAGCAACTGCACATTCAAAGCTGTTTTTGAATTCTCTTCTTTAATATTTGGCGTTTAATTTGTTTCTCGCCTCCTTATTGTATTCATTCTCTCAGCTCTGTTCATAGAGCCTCAGGATTGTCACTGAAACCTGGCAACAATTACCACTGCAACAGCTGCAGCAATAAGAGTTTCAGTAGCGCTTACAGAATGAGTTATACAGTAGGCTCCAGCCCAGCAGCACGGGCATCAGACCAGAGCCTCCTGTCTGCCCTCTCGTCCCCAGCAGCAGGCCCTCATTAGGGGCCTTGTAAAGGCCTCGTACCTGCCGAGTCGGGCCCCTTCCCTCCTCTCACCCCCAGGCTCCAGGTGTGTAAGGTGGCTGCACTTCACTAAAGGGGACAGCTTGGGCTCATTTAAACACATGGCTACCTGCCTCGTGCCTGTACGGCTGCAGCAGGCCCCTGGAAGCTATGAAAGTGTAAAAGTGCAGCGGGCTGAGAGGGGAGAACACAGGGGGCTGGCAGGGTGTAAAGGGGACCATGGATTATGACCCTGTAAAGATGAAAGAAGTCATGGGCACCAAGCAATCAAAGAGGAAGTGTGTCAGCGCTGATGTGGCAGGGGATTGGTGCAATGGAGGCCCTGCCTGCTCGGCCCCAGTCCGAGCGCATGTGTCTATGTGTGTATACAGACTGGTGTATGTGTGTGTATGTATGTATGCAGAAGAGTGCATGTGTGTGTGTGTGCAGACTGGTGTGTATGTATGCAGACTGGTGCATGTGGTTGAACTTTACACAGCAGGGCTTAACGGCCGCAGCGGACACCGTGGGTGCCGGATAACACCACGACTTTCACAAGCTGCTGCTTAATTGCTGTTTAAACTGCACGTTGTCCCAGGCTGCACAGCACGTTACAAAGTTAGCATACACATGCACACACATGCACGCACACAGCTATATTTTACACATTTAACGAAGCATCTGTAGTCTTTAGCAACAAAGTTAATCTGATCTCACGGTTAATGTAGAAGCAAAACCGCATGGGGCTGGTTAACTCCAGGTTTACACTCTGTTCCAATTACTAGCATAAATGGCATATAACAGTTTGTTATCAGAGCAAATAGACCAAATCAAATGTGTTACATGTGTAATACATGAACAAATATTTCAAATGTTCAAATAAGCAACATCAAATGTCAAGTGACAAACTTAATATTTGCAGGATCAAAGGTTGGTGAGATGTTAAAAATATCATAATTTGGCTGAATATGGAAGATAAGAAGATTAAAGATTAGTTCACAGCTGTCACACTTTTAGTAAAAAATATTTGACCTACCACTTGTACGTCTGAGGGCACTCTGGAAAGAAAGTCTAGCAGCTCATTGTTATCTATTGTGTATGGATCCCGCAACTTCTTGGTAAATTTATTCACCCCTGTTGCAACAGAATGATGACAAAAGAGTAAAAGTTTATTTCATTTTGATTCAATAACAAGCACATATATATCAAATGTTTGGTGATAAAATATATTTCCTTACCCCAGGCTAGAACTATGTATCGCAGAGGAATGAAGTAGACGATGATGGTGGCTACTACAAGAGCCACAATAGCCAGCCAACTCAGGAAAGGCACAGTCCAGTTAAATGTGCTGGGAGAGAGTAGAAAAGAGGTTTTGAGCAAACAGGCATGGCCACAGTCACTCCACAGAAAATAGTATAAGGACCCAGGAAGGCCATTTAATGCTTTTCAAATTAAACCTGGATCTTTCTGAATACCTCCATGCTACAAATTCCTCACAGCATCTGCAGGAGGAAATTGTGTTTACTGAGAGTCGTAGGTCAGTAATGCAAGTACAAGCAGTCCAAAACTCCATCAAAATATTATCAATAAGATGGCATCCTTTTAAATGAAGGTATGCCACACAGTGTTCAATTTAATTTAAAATGTTTTTTTTTACTATCTGACTGATGGTATGTTTATAGTTCAAAATGCTATCATCAGAATTCCATGCGATTTGTATTTATTTGAATGAAAGTGTGAGATTTTATATAAAAGATTATGGCAAATACAAGCCTTGTGATATTTCAATGGGAACAGATGATGTTTTCTTTTTCAGATGATCGCTTAAGTCAAACGGGGTAATGTGGGGTTAAGTGAGATGTCAATACTATTTGTCCTTGAGAGTGAAGGTCAGACTGGCATCCTAAACTAAGCAAAGCTCTGTGTTATTCTAGATTAGCAGTGGGAAGGAGAAGCAACCAGGCATGATGGAAATTAAAGGTATTACTTAAACAAAGAAATAGGATTATTGGCGTTCAGCATGTTCTAGGATTTTATTTCATAATTTCACATAACTCAGACCGATTCACTATTTTCAAGGGTATATTTTAACACATAATCCATGTTAGACCACAAATCTCATAACTTTTTGCTTAAGTAAGACAGATACCTCTACATGGCTTTCAGTTTCCTCTGTATAGGTCCTCTACAAATTTGTACAAAATATTCTAAAGGTTGGAATGGAGGCAGCTGGAGGCAAATTGAAGTGGAATATAATGTGATTTCAATGGAAAAACCTGGATTAATCACAGAATATCACAAAATATGAAAAATCCAGGGAAATTTGACAAATGAAAACCATTGGATACATGTGATGAGTCCAGTTTAAAAACATTTACAGTTGTGATTTACATTATCTGTTTATTTAAAATTCTTATGCATAAGAATTTTGACAAAGTTTTAATGGACAGATCCTTAAAGAAACTTTTATCCTACTTCATCTACAAATACAAAGCACATTTCACCATAAATTATACTGTTTGTGCTCACAAATTTTGAGGTTTGAAAACGGCATTTTTTTCATCCTTCTTAATAGAGAAGCAAATTAACTACAATATGTATCTTGGAAATTGAAAAGGGTTCTTTATTTTTTGTTATAATGTTGTAAAGCTATTAGCATTTAGATCTGTTAGTCAGTTAATCATTGAAAATGTAAGATATATGCTTAATTTGCCTCCAATTTTAAATATTCTGGATTTTAAAGGGTCTATAGGTGCCATTTTGAGTATTTGAATATATTTTGATTGAATTCAGTCCCAAATTCTACAGTTGAATTCTCACCTCTCCCCACCTCAGTTTTAAACGAAGCCCAGTTTACAATGTTATGATGTCATGTTAACCCAACCTAAATGTCTGCTCATAACTCACTTCTTTATCCTTTCTCCGTACGAGGCCACTTCATCCAGGGCGTTCTGCACACTGATGCACACATCCTGGATGGCGTAAAGCTTGTTCATGAAACCTTTTCTCTCAGAGTCCTGTAAACAGCCAGACATTTGAGTTAAACACAAATCAGGTGGGAAAGAAACAGGATCGGAAAGAGGAAGAAGGGTCTAGGCACAAGCGCCTTTCTGAAAACAATCCATTTAAAAAGCGTTTCAAGATTTGGGGTGGGCAGCCAAGTCACCGGATATCCCATGTGAATTGACAAACTGCTTTCATTCTAGGCCGTAATAGAGACAGAAAGTCAGCAGAACAAATCAAAATGCTTCTTCTCTACAAAGACTCAGAGAAAATTTGAATATTTGAATAAAGAGGCAGATTTAAATTTGAAGCCAAATGGATACATCAGTCTGTTTGCAGGCTCTTTCTCTCCCTTTTGATGCCAAGAACACGGGTAGACCAGGCAGAGCACGCTATTGTTCTGCGCCTGGCACGCTCTGATGATGTCACCAGCCATGACATCATTATTATTAGCGCTGTCACCCATAAAGAGCTGGTCCTCTGCAACTATTGATGGTTGAGAACTGGTAGTAAATTGTGACCACAAAACTAAACATAAAAAAATACCCCAGTGGAGATTAAAGATTTCATGCAACAATCAACAAGCTGCCTGCTGACTGACAAGAAAGGGACAGGACAGAGTAGTATAGACAGTCATGCTTCGGGCATAGGGTCATCTGTAACAGGTAAAGAAGCAGGAAATCTGAATATGAATATACATGAATATAACAGATTCAGTGAATTATTATATAAACAAAAGAAAAGTCATTTCTCATGTTTTCATTTTCTTTCTTCTTTTAAATGACTTGAATTTTATTTAATTATCCATTTATTGTGTAGGCAGGAAAATCAAAAAATTTGGAAAATCATGTTTTTTTGTTTTTGTTTGTTTGTTTTTTTGTTTGTTTGTTTTTAATAAACATGTCAACTGTGAAAGACATAGTACTATCCTGATTTTACTTTATCACTATTTTTACATTGCAGTTCTCAAAGGATAATGTTTCTTTCTCCATAATACCTCCCATATGCTTATAATTATATACTATACTCCTATCTGAACTATTATCTACTATTATTAGCTCACTGTGTCTTGTGGACTCAGTGCAATAAGTAAAGGTCGAATCATTAATAACAGAGTTTTTGTATCATTACACTTTACATTGCTGCAAAAGTTGCGTCTTATCTGCACATTAAATGTAAAAGACACTGATCCTGCAGCTTCACCAAACAATTTGCAATAATTAGCTCAGGGACAACATGGAGAGTATTACCAAAGAAGATGAATGGTCCATGGTACATTGGAGAGTAAATCTCCATAATCTCAGTTTCAAAGTAGACAGTGAAGCGGTCAAGAACACCCCATCTACAACACATATATGAGGCCCCAAGGCTTTGCCAATGCACTGCAGCCTATAGAACGAGACCCAAAAGACCACTGGGTCAACCCCAAACCCACCCTCCTCTTTTAGCTCTGCACTCAGATCAGATAATGTGAAAAATGAATCGTGGGTACACCACGGCCTCCGCAGCACAAACCACACAAGACAAATAGATATAATTAGACACCGTCCCTGGGTTATTTTTCTTCGCAAATATTTTACAAGATCCCATGCGCGGAGTCCATCTGTTTTTCATTGCTAGCTCAAACAAATCTAAAGTAAAGCCTGTTGTGGAGGACTGGGTTAGGCCTGGTCCGGTCGGGTTGGGCCAGGTCAGGCTGCTTGGGGAGAGTGTTGCAGAGCTCAGGGGAGCGGTGTGAGAGAGCGGGCGGAGGCGGGGGGGAAAGGTCAAAGGTCACCAGAGTATAAACCATTGCCACATGCCCCTCGGACTGCGGTCTGACTCCTATTTCCTGTCTTCAAACACGGCCAGGGGAGGCGGGAGGTAGCAATAACACAGAGAGCCGTGGAGATCCATGTTTTCCCAGCTTCTCCGCACACTGCGCACATATGGAGCAAGGCAACCTGTTCCTATAATGGAACCTAATATGCACACAAGCGCACATGCACACACACCCTAGAGCTATTAGATAAGGTTGATATGCGCACCTGGTTTTACTGTGTGACTCTACAAACAATATTTTATTTCGATAAAGCTTAGCTGAAAAGGGCTCTTAATTTATAAAAAAGAATACTACATAACTTTGCATTGCCGGATAGACATACAAAAATTTGGCAAGAACACATACAGCAAAGGCAATTAAAAAAAAATGTAGATGGGTTCCCACTGAGCTGTATTTAATTAATTTTCCAATACAAACTTCAAAAAGAAGTCTTGAATTCTGCCAGTGCTTCCCCTTTATTTGGCATTAGCATATTTGTCATGCACTAAAATGTATAATTTCCCCCTGATGTTGGTGTAACTTTGGGGGTGCACCACCTGCTTTTCTTCATGGAGATGTTTTGTTTTACCTGGAAATTTCCACAGTATGGAATTGAACTTCTCCAGAATAGCAGGTGACACCACCAGGACAAGTTATAGGTAAGATCCTGCTCACAGTAAGAATGCTTGCTGTTTAAGTTTGTTAACTGAAATTAAATAAGTGCAAGATAGTTATGTTTAATGCGACACTGTGGAATATTCCAGGCAGAGCTATAAAATCTCTATGGAGACAAGCGGGCCTCTTATCAGGAATGTTATGTAGTGCACCTTTAACAATAATTTTGCAATATTTTGAATTCCTTTGGGTGATGGGCTATGTTATTGTTTAAATATTGATGATAGGAGTCTGTTGTGAATATTACTTGTAACAATCATTGTAGAACTAGTTCAAAAAATATAGAGGGCACTAAATGTGACACTTGGGGGTTTAGACTATTTCAGAGGCGAGCATGAGAAAAATATACTGAATTAAACTGCAAATAGCGTGATTTAACTTGTGACTGAAATGTCTCTATGGCAAAGAAACTACTTGACATCAATTACCTCTCATCATTTTGGGCTCACAGACGTTCAGTGTCTCTATGTCCTCTTCTTGGCTGCGGCTTTTGCGTTTTAATTGCTTGTATCACATTTAGCTTCTGTGGTTATGTCCAAAGTTTGCATCATTGTTTGTGGAAGTGCGTATAGATGAGAAATCTCAGCCAACCAGCCATTAGTTGAGTATCCTACGTGGGTTGCACCTATCATCCAAGACTACAGGAGGCAGCGCTCGTTAAACTTGATGTGAGCTGTTTGCATGTGTTAAAGAGAAAGCCTCAGTGACACCGGGGATACACGCTGTCATAGGAAAGAGCTACGTCAGGCTAACCACACTGCACTTGCTGGTATATTGTGGTAAACAAATGTGGTAAACTCCTTGAAAACACTTGATTAAATATTTAACAAAGGGCTCGATGCACAACGCCACTGTGTACTCCAATGCTCCAGTTTCCAAACGATAGCATCATAGCGGAGCGCGTCTATATGCAAAAGTGCAAAGTGTGCAGATGTAAACTTTGCAAAGACAGTTTGTTCTATGCTGACCCAGGGCCTAGAGCTAAACAAGAGAGAGGTCACCCAGGACTCAGCCTATTACATTGGACTCAAATATCTGCCCTATATCTACTGCATGGCGGAAATAGGGAATAGCATTTGAGACTGTTTTAACCTCTGATCACATTGTTCTCCCCACTGGCTTGCACCGTAAAAATGATAAAGCTAACAGATATAATGCACTAGCGTATTTCCCATCACACAACAAAATGAGTCTGAACCACAAGTGGCTTCTCAGCTCATTCCCGCTGTTCTAAAATTGCACCTGTTTTTCTTTGTTTTTTCATGTCTTTTGCCTCTTTCGCTCGCGCAGCACAGTAAAAATTGAAATGTCATATAAAACGTGACAGGATGCTAATATGTGGCTCCCAAAGGGCATCTGAAAGCGGTCATGTTGATTTTGTAACTGCAGGGAAAGTCGACAAGCCTTCCATTTCAAACACAGGGAAAGAATAACAAGAGTAAAAAAAAAATAGTTAAGGGAATAGTTCAGAAAAAAAACCCAAAAAAACACCAATTTGGTTTCTGCAAATTTGAAATTACAAATGAAGGAATTCTGAATTTTAAATGTAGTGTAAAATTTGTTATTTTGTTTAAGGCTTTGTCCATAGAGTAGAGGTGTGTCAATATTGCAGACTGTTGTATTGATATATTGCATTATTTGGCACATTTCACATAATTCAGTTGTGGCAGCACTGCTTTTTTAGATAAAGCATGTACTTCATTAAAGGAATGTCATTAACTGAAAAAAAACATATTTAGGAATTACAGAATATCATGTTAATATCAATATTTTGTATCACCATATCACACAGTATAATACATTACATATAGACTGTAGTATTGGCATGTTTAAGATACCTTTATAACAGAGTTACTAAAACAAGAAATATTGAAATTTGTCCTAGCTCCTATGGGATGCGCAATGAGTCACAAAAGTCCTTAGGGAGTTTTGAAGCAATCTCTACAGAGAGTAAAAGTTGGGTTCCCTGTGGCAGAGAAGGGCATCTTCACTCTTTCAGGAAGTGACAATAATATGAGACAAAGGCCTGGGGACCAGCCACAGAGCTGGCACTGCGCCAGGGCCACACAAACACGGCAGATGTTCCTGTTTTGAGATGGGTTTGTGTTAGGCTGTTAACAAATTATTTCTCCCATATTAACAAGTAATTCATGTCAGAACTAGGGATGTCAAGATGAATTGGTTAATCGATAATTGCAGTCATGCGGTTCACAATACAATCAAAATTTTAGAAGTAGTGGTGAGTAATTTCAATTAGATTCAAAAAGCAAACCTGAATGTAAAGTAATGTATTCAGTGTTATATTAACATTACTTTATCATTCAGAAAATGTAATAAAACTAGTTGCCAGTGTTGGGAAGGTTACTTTTAAAATGTATTCCCCTACAGATTACAGATTACATACCCCAAAATGTAGTTTGTAAAGTAATCAATTAAATTACTTAAAGTGAGTAATGTAATCTGAATACTTTGGATTACTTGATTTTCTGTAGAGAAGCAAAGACTCGGATATCTTCACATAAGATGTTTTTTCTGCTAAAAAACAATAAAAAGCCCAGATTTTACTTAACCGTATTAAAAATATTATTGATAGAAGAGGAGGAGACACGGTCCGCATGGCATGGTTTAGTCCTGTTAAATCCTGTTTTTGTCCTGGTTTAGATCTAGTTTAGACCTGGTTTAGATCTAGTTTAGACCTGGTTTTAGTCCAGGTTTAGATCTAGTTTAGACCTGGTTTTAGTCCTGGTTTAGATCTAGTTTAGACCTGGTTTTAGTCCTGGTTTAGACCTGGTTTTAACCCTGGTTTAGATCTAGTTTAAACCTGGTTTAGATCTGGTTTAGACCTGGTTTTAGTCCTGGGTTCAGTCCTGGTTCAATCCTGAATTATTCCTGGTTTAGACTTGGTTAAAAAAAAAAAAAAAAGAAAAAAGAAAGGGATTTAGCCCAAAATGTGAAAACAGGAAAATACCGCCGTGTAATCTCATTTATTTCAACAAAGTAACTGTAATCCAATTACCACTCACTGAAACAGTAACTGTAACTGAATACAGTTACTCATAATTTGTACTCTGATTACGTAACTCCGGTACATGTAATCTGTTACTCCCCAACACTGCTAGTTGCACACTAATAGAATAGTAACCTATTTAACCAAAGTACATAACTTTCACAGTTTGCTAGTCATGTCAACAATGTCAACAGTGTGTATACTGGTAATCCTAAACCTGTAATGTTTCTTCTACACAGAATCATTGTAAGAGTTAATACAGGAATACTGTTTACAACTGCTGGCTATAATAACACAAATATTGGTTACCTAATACAGTACTGTGACCAAAAGCTAATATTAGATTGTGTGGAGGGTCATCCCAGTCCTTTAGGACCAAAGGAATGACGGTACAGATCCAGAGTCCGTTACAGACCACTTTAAGAATCTCTCTGCTCATAAAAGGTCGCTCCCAGAAGCCAATGTCAAAGCCCAGCTACAACTGTTACAACTGTCAACTGAAGGTGGGGGAGTCAGACACAAAGGGTCTCGTGTTAATTAGTCTCTCCACCTGCTAGTCCCAGTGCGAGGATAAATATACGCATATGTAAAAAGCGGCAAAAGAAAGCAAGGGGGGTTGTTAGAGGAGGTGATGACTTATTTGCAGTGTGACCTATCCTAAAGAGTGTTGCCGAGCGTGCATTTGTGAGCTCTAATGTGTCTGGGTGGCAGGAGGTTGTTTGCTACTGATCATCTTTAGCCATCTCCCCTTGGGCTCTCTCATCACCTCCACAACACCAGCCACTCCATCAGCTTCAAGGTCAGCCCCGCGTACACAAATGACTAGCAGCCCAAACTTGTGCGCTTGATGGCTTCCCCCTTTTCGCCTCTGTGCCTCACCTCTGCTCCCCTGCTCCCGTGCTCACCTTCCCACGTCCTTCCCCATTATCCACTGTGCCACCATGTGATGAATGGGGAAACATTACTCCTGTCCTCTGTTGGCCTGGTTTAGCCGCTGCAGCTCATCTCTCTTTACTCTGTCTGTGTGGCACTTTGGCGGTTGGTCTCGGCCCCAACTATAACAAATACAGTTCACTCTTTTCAGCATCTCGCCTTTTAACCCAGTGACCTTTTAGCAGGGAAGTATTATTTAGGCTATAAAATGTTTCACTAAACTTTTTTTTACTCAAACTCAAATTGTATTTGCTGCATGGCTTTGATTATTTTCAGCTCATCAGAAAATCAATTTCTTAAACAAATGTAAATAAGTATTCATAATTCATTGCACCATTGTGACAGGCAATAGTAATGATAATTTCTACTGTGAGAAAGAGGATTGTCTAATCCGACAAAGTATCATCAGCTCAGAATAATTACATGTGAATTGTAACCTTCACCATCTCAAACTTTGCAAACTTGCCGCTCCTTTAATTACATATTCATGTTCAGAGACATGCTGGCAATAGAAACAGATGTAACAGCCACTGTTTTAAACTTTGTTTGGGAAGAGCGAGAGTGCATTGCTCTGAAGTGAAGGGATCATGTCTTCAAAAAAGTAAATAAAATATGCATCCTCTGTGCTCATTACAGATTTATGACTCTTGTTAAAAGAAAGGTGGTGGCTGCTTCCTAACATGTCTGACTTTCATATTCAGACGACACTGCTGTCAAGTGTTGTGCTCCACATTCTGCCCAATGAGAGCGTGAGGGAGCTGTTGGTGCATTCGCTAACACAGGAGTGAGTTTGGGCACACGGTGCACAGAAGAACAGAGCTCACCTAAAACACACACCATCACCACTGCCTTTGATGCATAGTTCATCAGTCACACAGTTCAGTTGGCTGAGTTGCTCTTGTGTACAACAATAACAGTGAAGGGAGTAGACACAGCTACATTAGCTGTAATGAGCAGAGGGATTTCAAAATGTTACTGTTTCTGTGGCAACTTTTGAGGGAGGACTTATAATATTATTCAAACCACACACAGCCACACAACACAGCACACAGTGTATGAGCAGACCGCTCTGGAAAACTCTCATTATAACATTAGTTTAAGTGCTTATTATTGCTGACCTTGGGTCATGAGGTGTGTAGAAATGTACTGGGGAAAATATGTAATCATTTTATCAATGCAATTTATAAAGTTTCTTTTTGTGGCATAAATTATGCAGTTTATACACCTTATGCCCCCAGTCACTGCACAAATATTCACTATATTATGAACACATTCAAGTCACTCCATCATGCCAATAAACTGTATGATAGAGATGTCAGCAAATGCAAATAAATACAAAATCCTCTTGTTTACTTCTTTACAAAAATGCAATGATGTTTTGCAATACACTGTAACTGTATCCAGTGATTCTTAACCATGTCATCGCTGTCAAGTCACACATCAACCTCTTTAGATGACTTCTTTCTCTCTTTATTGCTAAAAATGAATTTAAGTCCATTCTTTTGACTCATACTTGTGTTATTACCATCAAAAAGTGCCAACTACACTCAAGGTCAGAAATGGTGTTTATGTCTTAAAACGTGAAGGAATTTGCAACCCATTATTTTTTTATTTTTTCTGTGGGTTTTCAGTCAAACAGGACTACAACACTACAAGAAGTGAGACAAAAGACTGGCAGCAGCAGTGGCCCATGCTGGGACCCCATCACCCTTACAGGAGCAGGCAGAGACTCTGACAGAGGGGAGGAGAGCGTGCAGAGCAAGGGGCGACTGACACACACACACACAGAAGTGGAGCCCCACAGGACGCAGACGCTGGACAGAGGCGCCCTGAAGCCCAACAGAAAACACAGCAGTGGGTTTGTGCCAGAGCTGCACGCATGCCGCCACTTACCACCATGGCTCGGATCCACTCAAAGTGCCAGGAGGCCAACATATCCTCCAGAATATGATTTTTATCACGGCTGTCCTCCCACGGGTCAGCTTTAGGCTCCTTGTGGATAAATTAAAGTACAATTTGCTTTATGACCCAGACACAAATAAGAAGGACCTTATGATGGTCTTAAAACAATTACAATGTTTTCTTCCCAAACATCCCCAGCAGAGAATTTAAAAATGAGACTTATCCACATAGTAAAAAGGGCAAACAGTTTTTTGGTTTCTAAGTACTCACCTTTGAAAGATTTTTCACTTTGAACTGTGAATATCAAAAGTGCACATGACTGGCATGACACATACTATATAAACTGGTACAACAAGATGTCCAGTGGCCATGAAAGTAATTACTCAGACCCTCTCTTTCTTTATCGTGACACATTCTGAGAAATATTAGACAGCAAGTGAGCACTGCCTTAAAAGATGTGTCAAAAGTGGTACAAACTGACAATTGAAAGAATTAAATAATTAATTAAAACTGTCATTATGATGTTCCATGATTTGCATTGGACATCTATCAAAACAAGTTTCAAGTGATGAGCCCTCAGTAGATGATGCACATAAAGAGGGGGTTATAAACTACAGGAAAGTTCTAATCCAATTGCTTTAGATTATATAAAAAAATGTTCCAAAATATAGTATGAAGAAGAAAGAGCATTAGACAAAGCCAGTTATACGTATCTAAGGGAAGAGGAGACGGAGCTAACTGATTCGACTGATGTTCGTGTGACAAAGCCAAAAACAAACAATACTGTGTATTTTGCATAGAGAAACAATACCTCTGCCTGGCTCTTTCACCCTTCTTTTTGTTCCTATTCCTCTCCCTATTAGCCATACATGATTAAAATGTTCCTACTGGTATCTCTGCTCCACAACAAAAACAAAAAATGGAAAAATGAAATGCAAAAGTCAAAAGCATGACGCATTTCACCCTCAAGAAGAAAGAAGTAACTTTTTTTGTTTGCTCTCCAATTCTCCTCAGCAGTTGAACCCTGTGATACCTGAGGACACCTCGCTCAAACAATAGCCTTGGCAAAACAACACTTCAGTCACACTCTGCATTCATATAATTCCCAGTGCACTTTTTAGTCCAATTACAATATGCTTTGTTCTTATCTGTAGGATCGCTGTAGTGCCGTGACAGGGACTAAGAGAGGAGTCTGGAAGGTGCAACAAAGCTCAGTTTGCAGATATCATATCTCTGTTATTATGTATTCAGGCTGAGACAAAGTGCGTCCTAAACTTCAACAATACATGATGAACAAACTCTCAGAACTTGCTTAATCAAACAAAGAATAAGACGATTTTTGATAATGAGAAAGCTGAGATAAACCCAAATCTGCCTTTTAATACTGGCCACGAGCAAGGACTTGTAGATGCAAGATAATATGATAATATGAGATAATATGGTGTTAGGAAAATCATTCCCAGAAAAAGAAATGTTATTATATACAACTGACACAACTGATAAGACCAAGACTTTATTACCTCTAACCTATGTACACTTCATTTACTGCAGCTTAGCATGCCAGGTGTGTAAACACAATGTAATACATAATATTAGAGCAAATGCAAAAGCTAATCTGTTTTTAACTCAGCTGGTTGGTGGCACAGTGAGCCAAAAATAACATGGTAGAAGCCACAAATAGGTTAGAGTTTGACCCCCATCTAGGATGAAAACAGATGTCACTGCTGCTGAATGAGAAATGCCTCAGGGAACCACATCTATAAATAAAGATGGGGCAATTCACTTTTACAAATAAATCTTCTCAGACTAATGAAAAATGTCCACTTTATATTTAGCATATATTGTAAAGGTGAAATAGGTAGAAAGGCGTGTTCTGTGTGAGTATTGTAGATACAGGCAGATAGACAGAATGAGAAGGAGAGGGGGAGTGCACCAGCAGTAAGCCCGTGAGCACGACATGATTGCAGTGTGTATCTTATCTATGTCAGGTCCTCCTGAGGCTAGTGGAGCCTAGCTGAGCGGAGCACTAGCGCTTCAGTGACCAGTCAACCGTGTGAGGGTAATCTCCTCACTCCTTCACAGTCTCTCTGTTCCAGTAAGCCCCCCTCCCCTCCCTGTGAGCCACACACACGTACACGCTCACACAGAGCAGCAGGCCAGAGGAGTACACAACACACAACAAGCACATAAGCTGAGCACACCCAGGTGACTGTCTTATGTGGGCTCTGGACAGCAGCCCCAGGTGAGAGCTCACATCACAGGCTACATTGAGCAGTGAAAGCCCTGCAGCCACTGCTACATATAGGAGCTCAGCAGAGGGTTTTGGCTAGAATGCGCTCAAGTCAAATACACGTCATCTAGCACACTATTTGTAATAACATGCATGATGCATGTAGAATATCTGAAATTTGACTGCACATCAGTCCATATCAAATGTTGCAACACTAATTTAACCAATTATATGTTAAATCTAGCTAGCTTCCATAAATGTGAGCTCTGTCTGAAAGTTCTGTTAACCCTCTCCAGGCAGGCGTTGCAGATTTGCAACAGCTAAATTCCAAGTACCTACTTACTCCACATCCATATTATATGAGCTTTTTTTTACTCAGGAGCCTTTTCTCCCATCCATGCTGATAAACGTGGACGATGCAGACTGTGTAAGAATGGCTACACACAAACGGCCTGCCAGAAGTGCAAAATACTTTTTTTGTTTACAAAGGATAAAAAAGTCAGAATTGTATATTACTACCCCATATTATAATTTTCCCCAAATATCAGATTTTTCCTGATACTAAAAAATAATTTGAGCCTGAGAGGGTTAAATGTATATTGTCAGTAAAAAAAAATTAAGGAAGAGTTTCAGTAGATCCTTAAGGCAAAAGATCAGTATGTTGGTGATATAAATATTAAACTTACATACTAAATGCATTCATAAACACTATAACTCCCATCAACTCACTATGAACTGGTTTTAAAGTAAAACTAAAAGCTTTCCCCCTGACTGTGTAGTCTGTCTCAGTGTTGGAGCAGCAGTTGAAGGTCAGCATATGCACAAACACATGGGAGGAGAAGGAGGAGGAGAAACAGTGCAACATTTTCAACATTCTTTCAACCTTCATGTACTTGCCTGCTTTAACAACTCAGGCGTCCTCATCAATTAGGCTCGATGCTCGACTTTCATTGAGATTAAGTGACTAATATTAGCGCTCGCTCACAAAAAGACACTTTTCACGTCTGCCCAACAATCTGTTAAGCTAAAACATGTGGCAAAAAACCTGCAAGGGGTCCTGTATGCAATGAAAAACAGGTGCTCTACTTTTTGGCCATGTAATACCCCATTTAGCCTCTGGAGCAAAGGTTATCCAGCTAATAGCTGCCTTGTGGTGCACTGGGAAGAACAGTGCACATGGCTGAAGTAAACATCTGGGACAGATTGTACATACTTGCAACATATGCTTCAAGTTCAATTAAAATGAGGCCTTGGCACATTTATTAATCTTTTTTTCCTTTTCTTTGCTCCCTCTTCTCCCTCTGCTCCCCTATAGGCCTATATAAAAGAGCAATCCTTTGACCTGTCCTTCAGACTGGCTCACAATCTAAAGCTATAGCTCATAGCTGGAGTCAAAAGCTCATATCCAGTGTAAAAGACTGATGTGTTAAGCTTTGGAAGTGCATTTGTTCTGCCCTTAACCAGGTCTGATAGAAAAAATAGTTTGGACATGAAGGAAAGGGGAGGATTGAGTGAAGGGTAGACGGAAAGTGGGAGGAGAGAGATGTTGGCAAAGCCAAAGTAAAATGCCCCCTTTTAACTCCTCTACAGCGCAAATGAAATGCTAACAGTTGAGGGGAGCAATAGATCAAAATGTATGAAGCTGGAGTTGGTAAATTGTAGCCTTTGTGGTGGCTGCGCTATCCGGCTTCCCAGCCCTGTGTGAGCAGAGAGCAGCAGAGAGCAGGGCCTTCTTATGTGGAATAATCAGTTTGGCTCTGAATCTGACAGAGGCCGCACAAGCCGCCGCCGCTGCACCTCATTTCAATATGAAAGTCTAAAATGTTTTTCATATAATCTGCTGCTTTTCAAATGTATTTTTATTTTTTTTCCCAGTGAGGAGGTAGAAAATGCAATGATGGAGGACAGATGTAAAAAAGGGGCATAAAAAATGTTCAAGGTTGCCTAACGCATATCTTCAGTCAGTGCCCCCTGTACACTGCGGCCTTGGAACTTCAGAGGAGCAGAACTTTTCTTCAGTATCACTGTGGGAGAGAATGTAATGCTCACATATCTTTGTGTGCACATCACCAGTGCGTCAGGCGGCCTGACTGATTGCCTGACTGGCTGGCTTAAGAGTGCGATGACTATTAGACCATCTGGGGCAGTGTAAATGTTTTTTTAACCCCTTTGTTGCACGCTTGCACTTATGACCCATCACAGAGAACAGCAAGGCTGGAGATGCATACATTTCTGGAGTCCTCGGGCGAAAATAACTTTAAAATATCAAAATTGCTCGGTCAAAGGCCTTCTAAAAATTTCCATTGCAAACTGCCAGAGCTCATTGAAAACCAGACCATGCAAATTACCATATCTTAGCCTAGTAACCTTTATATTGCTGGAGTGTGGCTGTAAGGCATCAAGTATCACACCATATAATTCACAAGTTGGCTTTTTTCCAGTCAAGCTTTCACAGTAAATTATAAGACTTAAGTCAGAGCAATAATTTGGTTTACTTTGTCTAAATGTTTTAAAACTTTACCTACACCCCAGCACCTCGTACAATGACACAGAGAGAGTTGTTGCACTCTGAAATATCATTCCCAAGTGGAACATTGTGCAAAGTGCTGTAGCCTATCCGCTCGCATTTGTCTCGGTAGCTGTTCCTACAGTGTAAACGAGCGGAGGCAGTAAAGCAGCCACCTGTTGTTACCTGATAGTGTCTGGACAAGCCCAGATGCTGTTTTACTGGGACATAAAGGACCTAAACAGCTAACTAAGCACTTTATATGGCTACATGTTCACAGGAAGTACTAATGCCATGCCAATTCTACAGTGACAAAGCCAACAGATAGTAGTAATTTGAAAAAAATATGTTTACTTTTATAACAGTGTATGCATTTTTTAAATTTAAATAATTAACTGAAAAAAAGGTCTTTGCTAATATTTTGAGAAAAAAATATTATTTCAGTTGCAAAACATTCTCTACAGGCAAAGGGGAGTATAAAGATAAGATTCCAGTGTTGCAATGCACAGTTCAAGTCAAAAGTCAAATGTACTACTGCACAAAGGTTAAATAAATAAATTTAACTGAAGTTTTGCAGTAAGAGTAGTCACGGTAGTAATCTTCAAAGTATTAATTAACACAGTATACTTTATGTAATATAGTTTTAGTGAAGCACACATTTGTACAGTGTACAGCACAAACCTGGAACATGCTTAACATTTCTGTGTATCCAGAAAAACAAGTTCATACCATCAGAGCAGACTTTAAAAAAAAGTTGCACAATCTTTGCACGTGTGTTTGCACCTTAGGCAATAGTATTAAAAATGTAGAAAATGAAGCTGGCCCCTCCCCTAGGCTAGTGCATATGCTAAGTATGTGTGTTGTTTTGTGTGACTGCACTTTTGACACCAGACATAATTACCTTGTCATCTTTGTCAAACTCCTCATCTTCGTCCTCCAGCAGGTCCTCCACCGCTTGCTGACAGTTGTGACAATGAGAAAAGCAGAAAAGACAGAAAGAGAAAAATAAAACAGTTTACACAACCGCTATGATTCAGATGAACATTTGAAAAACAGAAGGGTTAACGTCATCAGAAAGCAGCCAGAAAGACGTATTAAAGCTGATTTGTTGTGCTTATGTCTGGCTAGCGTGTTAATGAGTATGGGATGATATTGCATTGCTAATATGTCAAGCGCTTTAGATTGTTAATTTTAGAAACAGTCTGTTGTTCCAATGTGTTGACACTTCTGGAAATGTAAGCAAATGCTTTGGCTTTGAATATCCAACGAGCTAAGGATTAAACTCTATTCACTCAGTCAAATCACATTGCACAAAAGCCAATATTATAGCATACAGCGGGTAGAGCTGGCAAAACTACATCAGACAGACTAGCACTGATTGCTTGTTTGCGACCTTCTTGACCTTTGCAACTATTTCTCACCTAACTTTTCTTTTTCTTTTTTCAAAACCAGCATTCAGCGATTTTGACAGAAAGGTGCTCCCAGAGAGAAAACACAAGGGAGGTGCGCAGTGACAAAGAGCAACTACGCGATTCACTGGTTCATGGATAATGGATCTGTAGCTTCAAAAATCCAAACCGCACTGTACAGGCACTAAGGAAAAGAAAATGGATTCCGTGTAAACTGTGCAGGTTTTTGGGAACAAAGAAAAGAGTATTGTGTACAAAATATAGAAAGACAAATAAAGGTCGTGCACTAAGTACAATGTATACACGTAATGCACTGTTTCACAGGTTATTAGTATGTTACTTGAACTTGTACTTAATCAGATAGGTACAAATAGATTTAACATTATAGAAATAAAGAGTTGAATTCAATGTATAAAAGCTGAAACCATATATTTTAGGGCTCAATATTTATAGCACCTACAATTTCTTTGCAATAGTAGGGAGATTATTGACATTTTTATGTAATAACGTAAGATTTGAGCTGTAGAGGGTTGAATAAGTAACTTCAGTGGCTAATTATCAGTTGATTTTGCTATTGATTTGCTGCAGCTCATGCCTTATAATGATACGGTCTATTTAAAAGTTGGTTTACTGGGATTGTCCTGCCTTTTGCCAGTAGCATAAAGTAGTTTCAGTAGTTTATCATTTATCACAATCTCTCTCTGTTCCAATATTTTGTGTGTCAAAATTTGTTATCACGACGAGCCATGGTACAACTAAACTGCTAAAAAAAGAAGTTAAAAATTTTCAGTTACAGATCAATTTACACCAAAATGGTTTATAATTTTTGCTTGGTCTATTTCTGTAGAGTTCCGAAATGAATGACTGTTCACTTTGTAAGCTTTCTCACAGCATTTTGACATTTTAGCTCTAATTATGTATTTTATTGAATGTACAAACTTGATTGTAACACTATCTCAAAACAACAGACCCCTGCTGCATCTCCAATCCACCCTTATTCTGTCAATCATGGTTCACTACTACAAAGTCACATTGTTGCTCTAAATTTACATAAACAAACAGCCATATCATAAGCTCTACAGCTGTCAAACGAACCATTCATCTATTCTTACGCCACCCCCAGTATTGGGAGAAAACTTTGAATGGTCCCAATATCACCATAACCACATAACCTCCTCCAGAATGGCAAAAAGTCGTTTAGAGAAATCCAAAAATCATTACTTAACAAGACAATAGCTTTTGTCCCTTTTTGTTTTCATTGGAATAAGGGGGAAACTTAGTGGCAGCTGACATAAGCTTCTTATGTAAATGCAGCTTCCCACACAAACAAAGAGGAGTTGAGAACAGGCTTGTGCGGTGCTGTGTGCCAGTGTACACGCTCTATCAATAGCACAGAGTCACTAGGGCAAAATGCGTACACACACCACACACTCCTTCCTCCATCTTTATTTGGTTATACCCACTTCATTGCTGCCTAAACAAATGACACACTTTGCATTCCTCCCAGTGATACATTAAATACATAACTATACAAATATCAGGATGTCAGGAACAGCACTATGGGTCACCAACCATGAAATTTTTCAACATGACCGAAATCGAGACAAAATATCGACTATTAAAATAATTGTAATTATGTTTTGATATCAAATGACTATAAACTGGTTCTGGTATTGATCCCATACAGAAGATCCCATACATAACGGTCGCCAGTCCCTTCCACACGCCCAAGGCCAATTTATTATTATTATTTTTTACTTATTTATTTATTATTTACTTTTTTCTTCATATCTGCCATGTTTGTTTTGATGAGGACATGCCATGGATTTCTTTGAATAGCTGAATTTGTCACACACTCAGGGAAAAAAGACCGTAGCTCAGACTTATACACTTATAGAATCAGTAAATGGTCTTGAATTGTAACAATCTTCTATGTCATACTATTCAGTGAGTGACATAATTTACAGTCTCATCAAGTTTTAAGATAAGATTTTTTTTTTCTCTTTTACTCTCAGTATGGTACAAATAGGTTTATAAACTATAAAAAAGATGGTACACACATCGGAAAGGAAATGCTTGAGCACAGCTGACAGTACAGACAGACTTGTTACAAAGCAATGAAAACCTTCTGGCATCTCTGAATAAATGAACTATAACTGTTTATAAAGTCATCACAGTTCCTTCACAAATCCTTTCATCCGTGCCAAAATACAAACATAATGGATTCCTCCACACTGAGGCTTTGCTGGGGCACGGCTGGCACACGCTCCCAACTTTAAACAAAGGCAACGAGCATGAGCGGAGCACTGAAGAAGCATGACCTAAAGAGGCAGAGAGAGTGATAGTGTCATTTGTCTAGAGCTTACCCCCTCTCTGCTCTCTCTCTCCTCTCTCCCCTCTATCGCCTCTGGTTACAGGGAGCAGCCGTGTTCCCCGTGATGAGACACAGTGTAAAATTAATAAATAAAAAGACACGGAACATGTCATGTGCCCTGAAGATTGCCACGGCTAAATGCGTGCACTAAAGCTACTGTCTCTGTAAGGGAGGACATAAATTACATTCTGTGCGCCTGATGAATTCCAAACATCTTTCTTTATGCCCCTACCACTCTCTATTTGTCCTATACTCTGCTCTACTTCCAAGACCTGTTTGGTGTATGATATCATTTGTCTGCTTATCCCTCCATTATCACGTTGTTTGAATTACTATCATTACAGCATGCCGGCATCAAAGACCCGCTGTTGACTGGATCACGTCGAGGCTGCCGTTGCCTGTAGAGCCGCTCCAGTCAATTCAATATCTACTGAGGCGGGGATTAACATATTCAGACCTATTCAAATGATACAGGAGCAGTGTGGCTACTCTTACAGATTACACTGCTCCCTGTAAATGCACACAGAGATGGTGATAATATAAAACACAAACAAGTCAAGCAATGACATTGAGAGTTAAATGCGATGTGAAAGTGTGCGCCTTTTGTGGTAAAGATTATTTCCGTTGTTTTGTTATTGTTTTGATGTGTCTTGTTGATATTTTGCAACCTTATGCCCTCCCTGGATTAGAAATGCATATTGCGGGCTGGTTTCACTGTCAAGAAGTCAAATACAGCTATTGGGGGTCATATGTGTATTTTTGTGCCCATCCCAAGCCTGTACAGATAAGCCACAGTCAAAATACACAGATGAAAATACAAATACAAAGTGCTACATATGGGAATTTTTATATGCTATAGAATTTATACTGTATTTGTTTTATATTATGTAATTGAATCTAATGCATTCTGACCACCATAGAATATTCTAAAAACTATGACAAGAGTCAGGCTGGACCCAGAAGGAGAATGGGCAAGGTCCCTGCAGGTTTGTAGTTAGTGTGGCTGCTGTTGCCTTGTTACGTGAGTTGTGTAACAATGGAGTCAGTTTTACTTTCATTGAAGTAAACTTGACAAAAACACAAGCACTCCACAGAGAACCAGCAAAACCACAGGCTGAACAAGTAGCCACATCATTTTCACCCTCGCCTGGAAAACCTCTGCTCTCTCCAGGGCTGGGCTCAGTCTCACTATCTCCACTCCTAACCTTCCCAATGACAGCTGCGGGGGGAATAGACGCCAAAGCAGACATCCTTGTGAACATGAAGATATACTTTCTCCTCCTGTTTTCCTCCATTGCTCCCTCTCCTTCCCTCCATCGCCCTGCTGCTCTTCCTCTTTGATACGTGAGGGGGTTTTAACCTCTCCAGCTGCTGAGCTTTGGCCGACTGGCTGGCTGGGGGATCTCAAGGCCCTATTTGGTATGCACTGTCCACCGCGGCTTCGTCTGTGTGAGGATGTGCGTATTCTCCGGCTTCAGCGCCAACTGGGGGAGGGCTGCTCGTCTGATAAGGGCTGTTGGCGGAGTCTGGCTGACCCAAGCGGGCCCTTCACAAGCTGTCAGAGCCGCGGCCCTCAGAGGGGGGCCCTTCCATCTGCACTGCCCCAGCCAGGGCACACCCAGCAGGGGGCCAGATAGGGGCGAGGCTGGGGTGCTACAAGAGCTGGATGCTGGGGGTGGAGGTGAGAAGGGGGCCTCCATATTCATGAAAGCATCACCAAATCTGCAAGCGCTGACAAAGACGCGTTTTGTGATGCTTATTTTTATAATCCATGCACAATGTATGTTTTTCATCAAATGACCGATAAGTGCACATGTATGCACTCATGTGGAGATCACATTTGTATAGGACCAGCGTCGCCTGATAGCCAGTGAATACAGCACTTTCAGTAACATTTCATCTCTCACACGCGACAACTTTTGTTTGGAAATCAATTGCAGAATGGAAGCTTGCATGTACAGCACTTGATGTGTGATCCATTGCTCAAGGCTTAAAATGGAAAGTCAAAAAGTGTTGGAAAGTGTAGACAAAACAAAAACAACAACAAGCATGGAGGCAGACATCGCGAGCAGCTGATGTTGAGCAAAGAGTAGCGACAGTTACAAAGGTTCAGCGGAGGCAAACAGGGGAAGGAAGAGGCAGCGACAACAAGATGAAACGGGGCGGCTCTGCCAG